TCCTCGCAGCTAAGAACACTACTGAAACGAATAGTTGAAAATCGGACCTGAAAAAAATTCAGGCGCGTACGGGATTTGAACTCATGACCTCTGCGATACCGGTGCAGCGCTATATCAACTGAGCTAACGAAATTAAGAGATCCTCGCAGCTACCTGTATCGTAGAGGTCATGGGTTCAAATCCTGTACAGGCCTAAATTTTTTTCCAGGTCCTATTTTCAACTACTCGTTTCAGTAGTGTCCTTAGCTGCGAGGATCTCTTAGTTTCGTTTCTTCACCGCAGTGCAAATATATGAATTTCATATATCTAAAATCATCATTCATCACTTGGATGATTTATTTATTTAGGCAACAAGCATTCATATTCAAAAAGAACATATAAAAAAGAGAAAAAAGAGATATATCGGAAGAACAAAGCGCGATAAACGACGATAATCATTTGCAATAATTTTGCACAGTACTGTATCGCACTTCGTAAAACGACAGAAGATAATCAGCACAGCTTTCCTCCAAGCGTCACTAACACTGTTAGTAAAAGGAATTTCTATGTTGACGACTGTTTGAAGTCTCTCCCTTCCGAAGCAGACGCTATTCAGCACGTTGACAATTCTATGGGTCTTACTTTCACGTTGTGGTCTAAAGATAACCAAAGGGATCAACAACAGCCGTAGGCAAGGAGCTCAAGAGAGAATTAGATATGCCACCGACTGTTGAGTCTGTTTTTTGTCGAGTACTTTCAGAGAACATCTTCCCGGCATCGCATGAAAAAGTCAGTTGCGTGGCTGTTACGATACTGTGAAAACTTGCGAAGCATGGCAAACCGTGAGAAACCGGCAAAGTCGGTTGAATCTATCTCTACCAGCTCTTTACCTTAAGTCACCTTTAACGAGATGGAATTCGCAGAACTAGAGATCCTCAAGAGTGTACAGAAGTTCAATTTTCAGGTAGAGCTCGAGTCGCTAAACAAGAGTGAAAGTAAAGGGCACGTTAAGAAAAGTAGCTCTCTTCGAAGCTTGAACCCATCTTAATGAATGATTTGTTACATATTGGTGGGAGATTGAGCTTGGCGTCCACACATTTGGAGCCGAGCATCAGATTGTTCTGCCAAAAAACAACCACGTGACCAGCCTCGTAATTAAGCATTATCGTCTGCTTTCCGGGCATTCTGGCAGAGATTTTGTCTAAAGTTTGGCGCGTGAGAAATTTTAGATTGACCAGCCTCGTAATTAAGCATTATCGTCTGCTTTCCGGGCATTCTGGCAGAGATTTTGTCTAAAGTCTGGCGCGTGAGAAGTTTTTCGATCAAGAATGCCAGTTTCGTCGTAGGAAGAGTACTCTCCTAGTGTGTTGACGGTCGCCACCGCCAACGCCCAGTCTGTGAACAGAAAATGGTTGACTTCCCTGTTAATCGTCTGACTCCTGACCGACCATCCTTTACGTCCGTTGGGATTTCCACGTGCTTGGCTATCCGTGCGAAAAACATAAAGATCGCACACAGCTTAGGAACAGATCCTTTTTTGATGGCATCAAGACAATTTATAGGGAGAAGGGGCCAAGTTAAAGAGATCAGATCAGATAATGGTACCAACTTTACTGGAGGCGAGAGAGAGCTTAGGGAATCCATCGGTTCATGGAATCACAACAAAATCCATAAGGCTCTATTACAGAAGAATATCAAATGGATATTTAACCCCCTCCCCACCATACGGGTCAAATTACGGAGGCGTTGAAAAAGCTGTATTCGCACGTTCCAAAAGAAGGATTCTTTGTCTCGACGCAGGTGGAGACAAATGCAATATCTTGCCGAAATGTTTTTGAAACTTTGGTCCAGAAAAAATCTACCCCTGCTCCAGAGCAGACAAAAATGGACATCGCCTTGCAAAAATCTAGCCGTTGGAGATGTTTTCCTTATCAGCGCAGAAAATTCACCTCGCAACACGTGGCCTCTTGGTAGGGTTGTTGAAGTTCTCCTCGCGGTTTGGTTCGACGTGCCAAGGTGAAAGTAAAGAGAGCTGTTGTGGAGAGACTGATCGATAAACTTTGTTTGCTTTGGAAGCTTGAGCTTTTCCGCCGAAACGACTTTCGTGTATCTCATGACTGCATTTAATCGGGGACTCTTGAAAGAGATACTTAGAACTAATTCAATTAAAATATAAGTGACTCGCACGTACTCCGTACTTAGGAGCCGGTATGTAAGTTCTAAGTGCGACATTTTTTCGTGTTGGATTCTTTGCGTGTTTAAAGTTCATTATTTATGTATTTTCACCCCGTAACTAATGAAAGTGTTACTGCAGCATTCCCACCTAGTAATTTCTTTTCCTTTGCGTTCCTACTTACATTTTTGTGTTTTTGCACGAACATTTTTCTTATTGTTTTCGCATTCTTTTCACTCACGGCGATTTGTATTCTGTTAAATTTTTCGCATAATTCTGCTTTGTTTAATTCAATTTGTAAAAGTTTCCCAAAAAAATTGAACATCGGAGTATCAGAGTGCATTAGGTTAACATTGATTCCTTCACTGCGATCATCTTTTAGTTTTTCCGTCTCTCGTGCTCGCAAGTCACACAACTTTTGTAAGTGTCTTTCCCTGTCCGACTGTATTTCCTCTGTTGTTTTGCGTTTTTCTATTCCTTCTACTTCGTAATAACTTGTAATTATTTGTTCCTTTTAGCAACCACGATCAAACGTAATGTAAATAAATTTTAAAGCGTTTGCGTGTTGAAACCTGACTTTGATGGCAGTCACAAAAAGTTTATGCTTATTGTTTCATTGGCGCCTTTTTATTAATTTTATTGCCACCTAATTGCCGCTATATTGCTACTTCGCATAATTTAACGATGTACGTCTAGAAGTAATACGCCTTTTTTCTCGTTTTTCACGCGCGGTTCAGTAATGTACCATCGTTTTCGCTCGTCCTTTTCCTTTCGGTTTTTTTTTTTGGCCATAGCAGTTTTGCAATTTCAGTATCAATCTTGGTTTTTTGGCCTTACCAATGTAAGGGTTTTATAGTCCCCTTGCCGTCGTGTTGTTTGTTATTTCTTTATGTCGCATATTGTTTGTTACGCCGTTGAGAACTGTAAGTGAAGTGTGTCAGTTATTTCTACGAGGCGTGGAGTTGTTTATTCTGTGGCCACAAATTTCGCGTAATGCAGTTTCGCAAAGAGTGCAATTAGTTGTCAAGCCACGCTACCGAAGAATCTACACTGAAGTTAAGTTATGACTCTCAATTTTAAAGAAAGGTCGCGGCACACGAAGCTGAAAACGTCCCATAATACCTCACTGAAATAAAAGTGAAAAACAGAAACTTATCAGTCCAGTTTAGTTCGTCTGCCGACGTTGCGACTTAAGTTCAGTGTGATAATCGACCAGAAATCAATGTGACTATCTTGATGTCTGGACTACACAACATTATTTATACGACAAATACAGATAAGGAATAAATTCTTCGGCAGCGAAATTTGAACCATAAACAATTACCCAATACCAAAGGAAGTAAAAGAACGCCAATGATAAGAAGCACTGCATGAGCCAATTGCTAGTACTGCTCTCACCATTGCAAAGCTCAGTGGCCAACTTGTGTGGGTGTTTGATTCCGGATTGACAGGTCGGCATTTAAGCCCAGGCCAATTCATTGTGTTGTGTTGTTAGGAAAGAAATATGCTCTTCAGCCAGGGGTTAAAACCAGATACAACGAAAATTACATACACAACGAAAACTACCGATGAAGTTCCCGGCAATGGGCTATCGTTCCCTCTAATGGAAGTATATTTACTATCAGTCTCCCAATACTTCAGAAAGTAACAAAAGATCTGGCGGGAATGGGCCATCAGGCTGGCGATAGTAACCTATGTTTCAAGATACGGTCAGACGACGCGTGCTCATCAACACAACCACGCTATGTTCAGCGTTAATTTTCTTTTAATTTTCAAGTGCAGTAAAAGGCACGAAAATACTTTGCATTAAGGTTTCATGGAAGTACTGGGTCAACGACTTATTGGTTATCTATTCGTAGCTTTCTTTATATATTTCCTTTTAGTTTTTGCGATGAAGAGATTAAACGTTCAAGTGTCATTCTTATCGTAACAGTTGTATTCAGCATGTACTTTACACGTTTTTAATGATATCTTGATAGGTACTTAAGCAACAACAAGCTGAGGGACTTGCCCCATGGTATCTTCAGTAATTATACCCAGCTGGAATGGCTGTAAGCCAAGACTCCTTTTTATCGATCTGAAATTGAGTAACAAATTCCGTAACTAACACGTTCGTAATGTTCGTGATAAGGATGTGAGTAGCAGTGAGCTAAAGAACTCCTCTCCGAGTAATCTACGGTTGTAATGCCGAGCCTTTCTAGCTCCCAAAAATCATGACTAGCTCCCCCCAACCTTTACATGAACACCTTAAATATACCTGAACTCATTACTTCAGTCATCGTGTCAGTGACACTGACTGAAGTGTGATCTTGGAGCCCTATCGTCCGCGTGAGGGTAGTCCTGAGAGGGACTGCTTTTGTGACCCCCGCCGGACTTATCAAAACGTTGGACACTGGTTCCGAAAATTGCAAAGAGAGCGAAATTACGAAGGGCGAAACTTCCAGTTACCTCGACTGCATCACTGGCGATGCTTTGGTGCCACTGATCTCGGGAGGGGAAACAAATTTCTAGGTTTAACTTTTCCACAAGAAAATGAAAAATACCCCCACCTCTCTGCCCTGCTATCTACCCAATACTCTCCCTCCTTTAGGCTCTTAGTTTATATAGAGCTACCCAATCTAAGAATTAAGGCACAGTCCCCCAAAATAAAAATTCTCGTACGCAGTTCTAGTTAAGCACAAAATAGGTTAGATTCATGGCTGATAGAAAATAAAGGATTACGCAGGTTTTTTTGAGCCCCCATATCAAAGCATGCAAGAAAATACAGCAGTTGCCGGATAAACCCTTTAATTCAACGTTATTATCGAATACATCGTAATGAACACCACCCTCTATTACTTCTTGGCAGGGAAATGAGCAACAACCCGTTGAAGGAAGTACCATCAGGCATATTGAGTAACAATACCAAGCTGTCCATTCTGTAAGTTAGGACCCTTTCTCCTTGTTGTAAAGAGTGCCAAAAATCCTTCTTGCATTAGGCAAGCTACCAGCAGATCCGAGCACACTGACTTTTTTAAACATTCATAGTTCTGATCAGATAGAGGCACAGAAAATTGAAGATGAAAACTGAGATTGAATGAACCAATCAAACTCCTTACAAGAAAACATTTGCTGGAGAGTGTGGAACCAGGGTAAACAATCTGATATAGGAACAATATCTTGTAGAATCCCTCAGGTCAATTTTGGACCCACTTTCCTTTTTGGTATAAATGAATGATTTGCCAAATTGCCTCAAACACACCACACCTCGAATATTTGCCGACGATACCAGCTTAACAGCCAACAAGAAAAGTATTGACAAAATCGAATTGGGGCTTAATGAAGACTTAGATAATTTTAGATTATGGTCACAAGCAAATAAGTTCAGCCATAACGTTGCGAAGACAGAATATATGCTCATCGGTTCACGTCACAGATTGGCTAAACTTTCCTTAGAACTAACTGTAAGCATTGGAAGAGATCTCATCCAAATAGTCAAAATTAATATACTAAAATACTTTGAGTTTACATTGATGAATCTCTTACGTGGAGCAAGCATGTTAAAGAAATAACTAAAAAAATTAGTGCTTTAAAACAGCTCAGAGATTTTGCAAGTTGAGATGTACTTGTTTCAGTTTATAATGCATTAATTATGCCTCATTTTAATTATTGTTGTAAGGTTGGGATTCATTAGGTGTACTAGCCGAAAGGCTGCAGAAACACCGTAAGAGATGTGCTAGGGTAATTACGCGTTACAAAAACGAGGCTGGACATTCTGGATTAGTCCTACATCATCTTGACTGGAGTTTACTAAGCGAACAAAGAATTCATATTAAGGCCTGACAAATGTTTAAGGTTCTCCAAGACTTGGCACCTGCGAGGCTTTCGAATATTTTCATGGACACGTGCTCGAACAACAATTATCATTTAAGGAATGTTGATAATAACTTGGCCATTCCGTTGCCAAAGACTGAATTTCTAAAGAAGAGTTTGAGCTATAATGGTGCTAAGATCTGAAATTCCTTTCCAAATGAAGTACCTAGTTCTGAAACTTTAGCTTCGTTTGACGAGCTTATTTCAACCAATACACCAACTGTGAAATAATTTATTTCTTATGGGTTATATTTAATGCATTGATAGTTTAAGTCATGAACATTAGTGTATACATATGTCTTAAATAGTTTTTAGCTTTTACAGTTGGTTCACGCCTCTAGTGGAAACCAGCTTTCCATAATGTTAATGATAGGGTAGCGTATTTAAATAAAGTTAATCTATCAATCTCTCTAGTGATTTTCTCAGCTGTGGCAAACAATGAGTATATTTCTTCCTAAGCGCCACTGAACGTTGATAACACCACTTTGAATTATTTTTGGTAGGTTTTTAAGAACCAACAAGTTGGAAAAATTGCCATCGGGTATTTTTGATAACAACATCAAGCTGACTTATTTGTAAGTTTGGAGCCTGCCTTATTAAGTAAAGAACGCGTTAAATCCATACCACTTCAGCGAGAATATCATCAGAACTAAGCAGCGATTTCAAAATTTTCCTTAGCCACATCCTAGTTTCTTTGAATAGTCACCTTCTCAATCACGACATTCCTAAATTTCGCACGATAAGTTTACTCGCACAAAAAATGGCCAGTTTGGTTGAAAAGAAAACTCAGTAAAACAAAGAAAAGCTTCTATAAAATATCATCCAGTGAATCGACATCACAAAGTGTCAATCTCTAAACTCTGTGTACTCGAAACAGGAAGAGGTCAAATGAACAGTGAGTTACTCGTTAACTTACCAATTACATAATACATCTTTGTAGTATGAAAGTCACAATGCTCTCTCATATCATCTATGGTGCTCAACTTCTTCCTAATTTTTACCACACTGACATCTTAAAAGGAAATAAAGAGGGGATAACCATGGAATGTCTGGAATACTTGTATCAGTTAAAGCATTACAGTAATTAGACTTAGTTGACAAAGTGACAAAATGTACTATTGTTTGATATATCAGTCTTAAAGTACTTGGCATCCACCGATGCAAAAAGGCTAAGTTTTTGATTCATCTTACATGAAAGAGAGATATAGCTATTCATTGTGCGGTGATTATCTACCTTTATGAAACGGGGCTAATAATAAGATTTATTAATCCATTAAAGCACCTCTCAGCCTAATTACTTTTCGTGTGTTGAGGTGGAAAGGGGTGATGGCCACTAGAGGCTTATATTTGCTTCCTTAGGGGAGGTGAGTTCCATCCCATTGCGCTTACTTTTAAATCTGCTATATAGTATGCGTTTGTTAGTTACATAAAATAAACGATAGACCATCAATGAAGCAACACAAAATAAGACAACTGGTAAGGTCGAATTAATCGTACGCAAGTCACCAATTTATTCTAACATTCGAGTTGAAACTTGTAGCTTGGTGACGTTATCTCACTTCACTGGTTTTTGAGGCTCTAAAAGTCAACAGTACCGGAAGTAGCTTCAACAATGAATATATCTTTAAACTTTTCTCGCTAAACAAATTATCAAAAACATGTTAAGAGTATTCCGAAGTTAGTGTTCTGAATTAGGCAGTGTTCACACTTGGTGCCCGGGCACCGTGCCCGGGTTCTATTCTACGCCGGGCACCAATGTGAACACACCTTTTTTCCTGGTACCCACGCCAGAATTCGGGCACGGTGCCGGTGCCCGAGTACAAGGTCTCGACCTTGTACTCGGGCACTAAACTGGGCACTGAGTCCTTGTGTGAACACATTTTTCGTTGGTGCCCTGGCACTTTACCCACAAACCACTTGTTTTCGTACAATTTCTCAATAGTGAGCGTGTGCTCTGTTTATTGAATGTGAACATATCTTCAGACTGGGTACCGTGTGTCTGAACACAGCACCATTTTGTGCCGGTGCCCGGGTACTAGTGCCCGGGCACCAAGTGTGAACACTGCCTTAGAATTTCCTTTACGTTCGAAGTTCTTTGTCGTATCATAAGTCCTTGTCAAATACAAACTCCTAACTTTGGCCTTTTACAAGCTTTTCCATGATAAGCTTCCTTGATAAAATACTGGTATAGCTCGTTGAAAAGCAAATCCAGTAAACCTATTTTTGCCAGCCAAAGGGAAGGGCGTCCCATTGCCTCGTTTAATCGCACTTGATTTTGTATCTGCTGACAAGGAGAAGTTCGTTAGTTACGTGGGAAGATAAATAGAAGACCCTCAATGGAACAACGTTAGAAAGTCTCATAGTCTTAATTTTCAGTTAAAGAAAAATCCGCAAAGGATTTTTTTCATACACTTTCACGGAAAAACATTGTATAAACTTGTGCCTATCAGGTTTTTTCCTTCCCAAATTATAAGGAGGTCTTGTTATGGTAGCAAGAGCTATTGTGACCTTGTAGAACCATGTGCTTTTTAGCTTGTAGGCCATCAAACTTGTTCAAAGTTCATTTTACCTTGTATTTTCTGATATTTCGGGCCGCTAACGCTACATGGTTGCATGGCAAATTTTCAGCAAGACATAAAGCAGCTTTTAACCTGTGTTTCAGTCGAATTTAAGCTGAATCTGACCCGAGACACGGCGACAGAATCTTGACAAATATGACGTCGCAAGCAAATAGCAGCAGCGCATCGGTTCCAAGCATCCAACAACGCAGCAAATATTCACGTATAAAGTTCCGGTTATTTCAAGGGTGAATCTTTGAGAAGATTTATAAAAGAACAGCAAAAACTAACTTCAGACATGGAATTTACACTCAGTTTATACTCGAGGCTGGACGACTATCAAGTAGCGACTTTCATGAGATGTTTCGGGACAGAAGCCCTCAATATGCACTCCAGTTTACTCTTTGCATCCAAGGAAGAGAAAGGTAGGATCGATGAAGTCTTAGAGATGTGGAATAGGCAAAACGAACAGAATTTTCAAGCGACAAACAAATTTCAGTCAGAATAGCGCAACCCTGAGCGGCTCAGCGTTCGACCGTCGACATCTATGCGGACGACACCATTCTCAGTTCCTCATCCGACGTGACAAATGGACTTTTAAGCATCACATCCAAAACAGCCAATATTATGTGGATCAACTGTTTGGTCGAACTGTTCAAGGGAAAACATAATGAGAGTCTTCATGCTTCAAAAACGCGCTGCACGAGTTATCTTGGAAGCTGACACAAGGTCGAACAGGGTAACTCTTTAGGAAATTAGCGTAGCTCCGTCTCTATGACGAAGTTAAGTTTAAGAAGAGTACTTTAGTCTTAAAGCGTTTACAAGGAAGCTGTCCTGCTTATATGTGCGATCTACTCAAGTCTAATGCAGACCTACACAGAAAAAATGGTCCGTATAGTAAATTAAATCTCGCCTGCCCTCTTTTCAATTGGGAAACCGAGGAAGGGAGCACCTTTAGCGTATCTGCGACAAAAAACTGTGGAACCAACTACCCATTAACCTATAGAAAGAGGCGACAACAGTTGGGTCTTTCAGAAAGGCCTTTCACAGACTTTTCCTATCGAGCTATGATGAAGTAGAACTTCTCAGTTTGAATGCGATTTAACCTGACCCAAGCGGCATATTTTATTTTATCCAGTTTTTAGCTTATATCCATAGAGGCCTTTTGACCAGTTTTATAATCCTCTAATACATTTGAATTCTAATTATGGTGCTTTTAGTATCGAGGGCCACTAGTTCATCAGCTGAATCACTGTTGTTGTTGTTATGTGTTGACCTCCTTAAATAATGTTATCATTATTATTATTTTTATTGTGGAACATAATTCACCGAGCTGAATAAGAAGTTCGAATTCAAATGAAACGAGGTGCCATTCGTAGGACTTGTGATGACGAAGAATAGATTGAAGGTAGATCAAAGGAAATCGGACGCTACAGTCAAGATGGAGCGACCAACAGATGTGTCAGCAGTGCAGATATTTATAGGGCTAGTGAAGTATCTTTCTAAATTTCTACAAAACCTTTCAGAAATGTGGGAGCCACTATACCGCCTGATATGCAAGAATGCCGATTGGATCTGGACTTATGAACATACATACAACGACATAATGAGCCGAGATACCTGGACGAAGAACTACTGAGTACGGTATGCAGCAACGTAAAAGGCGAACCTGTCCCTCAAGACCTCAGCAGAGAACAGCTGAACAGAGGAGCTAACAAAGCAAAAAGTTGGTCATTCTTTCATATGGATTCTGCGAACACCAACGATAGGCATTTTTTGATATTAGGGTCTGCCCCAAATGTTAAATCCTGTAAGAACCAAGAGCCGCAATCGCCAGTACTCAAGGAGAGTTCACGACATTGAACACGGAACATTCACATCCCAAATATTCAGCACAACGGGAAGAATGGACGACGAATGCTTGAGATTTCAAGGGCTGATAGAATAAAGAATAGAAAATATTTGCGGCAGTTACCCTTTCCCTAAGCAGTCCTACAGTACGAATTAGTCGTAAATGGTGAAAAGGAATCAAACAAATGTATCGGGATCCCTTATAACAAAGATGTGTTTGACTAAAATCATAGATGGATGTTTTGATAGGCATTAGCAAACGAAGAGTAACATTTAGAGATGGATTTGATTGGATTTGATGATAATATAAATGCGTTTATATTGTTAAAGCAGCTGAATACTTGTTACACACTAACTCATACTAACTGTCGTCATTTGTTAAGGCCGACGTTGTCGCACACGAGAACTTATATGTCAACAAGCATGCAACATGTGACTTTGAAATCTCCTCTCTTGTTACAGTTTCCTTATTGTAAACTGTGTTCACATTTTGTAGCTTCCCTGATCAATCGCCTTGTATAAACAACTATAAAATGAAAGTTTATTTGCTTAAGTGATGATGGATTATAAGGATCATAATTAAAATAAGGGTTGTAGCTCTCTGGCAAGGGGAGATATTTGAAGTCAAAGTTATCACATATTTGGATGAATCGAAAAGTCTAAAAACACAGTCATTTATTTGCCTCTGTTGGTTGACAAGCCAGCAATCAAATTGACTGATACTTGAGTCGTACATTTATTAAGGATGTAACAATATCTATGCAAACCCTTAATGTATTGGGTAAAATACGCTCGCATCGAGAGCCTCATATACTTTTCCTATTTTGAAGCGATTTCCTCGGTGAAGACCAAGAAGAACCGGGGAAGTGGTCTATGTACCCACGGATATAACCAAACCAGAAACCAGTTTGTCTGTTTGAGTTTTAGGGTACACCCTTTAAACTGGCAAATTTTTATTGAAATCGGTATGATGGCATGTAGCACGACTGCCTGGTGCTCTCGTATATACACTCTCTAGTGCGCTAGAAATAATCTTTTTGCAGAGATCTCGTTTGTTATATATCCCCAGATTTTACATTGACAGTAGTACAGAATAGAATATAAATTTAGCGTTATTCAACAAATATTGTCTCTTTCTTTCACTGTGGACGACTCTCTGTAATGACATTC